TCCAGGACAAGGTCAAAATCACTTACCTGAAACCTCGATCCACCCACCAACAGGACTTCCATCTTATTTGGATTGAGGCTCAGTTTATTGGCCCTCGTCCAGCCCATTACCTTGGACAGGCACTGGTTCAGTACATCCACTGCCTCATCTGGAGTAGATGTAAACAAGAGGTAGAGTTGGGTGTCATCAGCATACTGATGATTCTGCAGCCCAAACCTCCTGATGACCATTCCTAGCAGTTTCATGTAGATGTTGAAGAGCATGGGGGACAAAGTAGTGCCCTGCGCAACCCCATGGCACAAAGCTATAGTCCCCCAGCACCACCACCTGGAATCGGCTGACCAGGTAGGAGCGAAACCACTGCCATGCAGAACCTCCAACTCCTAACCCGGCCAGTCTATCCAGAAGGATACCATGGTCGATGGAATTGAAAGCTTCTGAGAGGTCCAGGAGAACCAACAGGGATGCACTCCCCCTGTCCCTCTTCCTGCACAGGTCATCATACAGGGTGACCAAGGCAGATTCAGTGCCATAACCGGGTCTGAAGCCAGACTGAAATGGGCCCAGATAATCCATTTCATCCAAGAGTACTTGGAGTTGTCCCTCCACCACCCGTTCTAACACCTTGCCCAAAAATGGGATGTTGGCAACCAGTTGGCAACTCTGGGTCCAGGAACGCCTTCTTCAGGACAGGCCAGATCACCACCTTCTTCAAGGGGGCAGGGACCGGGCTCCCTCAGTGAGGCGCTGATAACCTCGTGAACCCAGGGAGTGATCCCATAACTGACTTTCTTAAGTAGCCAAGAAGGGCAAGGGTCAAGTGAGCAGGTGGTAGGGCATACCATCCCAAGCACCTTGTCCACATCCTCAGGCTGCAATAACTGAAACTCATGAATTCCCCAGATAGTGTGTCAGGAGCCATGAATGTGTAGGCCCCTGCTTCTTTCCAGCCACTGTGAAAAGCGTTTTTTCCTAGAGTGGTGGTGTGACCCCAGCAGAGAATGAGGAGGATGGAAAGGGGACACATCAATGGGAGGGGAAAGGACATGGATCCACCAGATTCACAAGCCTCTCAGTTCTGGACTTTGGGATGGCAGGGGAAGTAGATGGGTCTTTGAGCCCATTGAGCTCAAAATGACTTTAGGGAGAATGGAAGGCTGACAACCCAGTGTTTCTCCTACTCTGCCAGAAAACTCTGAGGCTGGAGCCCCCCATCTATCAAATGTCAGTCCTTTAGGATTGGTTCTTAGTAAACAGAACAGAGCCAATGTGGAGTGTTGATTAGAGTACTGGACTGAGACTTAACAGTTTCAGGTTCTAGGCCCCACTTGGCCATGCCACTGTGTGACTTTGGAATAATCACTGACTCTTAACCTAGCCTACCTTGTTGTGAGGATGAAATGGACAAGAAGAGGATTATGTAAACTGCCTTGGGTCATCAGGCAGTGAACAGAACTGGTCTTAGGAGCTCACCAGATGAGCACTCTGGAGCACATTCCATGATCTATCAGTGTTCATGCTCTACTTCTTGATTGTGTGTCTGAGTGAGTGAGTGTGTGTGTGTGTAGAAGGGTTGTATCTGATCTGCCTTCAACTCATGGGGTGGTATTAGGCAGTAGTTACCTCTTAGGCTCAGGACTGTTTTCTCATCTGCAGAATGGGAATAGTGCTAATAACTGTGGCTTGTTGTAGTTGCTGAGAAGTGAAGTGCTTTGAAACCCCAGCCCAAGCATTATCTAAATGCTCATTATGTGCAAAGCAAGCTACAGTTCTGTGAACAGTCTTCCTCTGGCCCCTTTTGGCACCTTCTTCTATTACTGGAGCTTTCTCTCCCCCCTCCCCCCCCTTTATACATGTAATCCTCTTGATCTGTAGGATGCATTCTTAACTGCAATGGCATGAAGCTGCTGCTTGCCTGCTGTGGTGTAAACAGACTGTGGTGCCAGGGCACACAATTGGTGTTATGTTGAGCACATAACATTGAGCACAGTGGATCCAGTCCATTGAGCGCAGTGGATGGCTCCTATACAGCTCAGAATAAAAGCTGTAATAGATAAAAACCCCACTGACATAAGAGTCACCAGCATCCCCCACTCCCCTGTACATGGAAATACCTCCCCACTCTTCTCTGTAACCCTGACAATTCCTATAAAGGTGAAGCAGCAGCAGCAGCTTCTGTAATGGTGGATTATTGGGAGCATGTGTAGCCAGTCCCGTGCATGTGTAGGCACAGTGATGGATCCTCGTTTCCCTTGCTTCCCTGGCTCAGCTCTGGCAGACGGGCATGTGTATAGGTCACACAGCAGATCAAGGCAAGAAATGGAAGGGAGGTACATGTCTTTCACTCTGCTGTTCAGATTCCTTTGAATGCCTGTTCATGTGTTCACTCAGAACGGCAGTGGTCTCTCAACCTCAGGCATTGGTTCTTGTTTTTAAGAAACATTTTGTTTTTTGGAAATGTAACCTAGCTTCATTGTGTTGCTACTGCAATATTGTTATTAGGTATAACAAAGTAATGTATCTTGTCTGCTAGCAGTTTGTTCAGGCTTAATTAGTACCTTCAGGAATATATCTTGAGGTAGGTTGGTTGGCTGGTGGGGTCCATGGACCATTATAGTGAGTTCCTCTGAGCACAGCAAATCTCTTTTGAATAGCAAGTACAGGCTTTGATCCCAACAACTGTGGAGAACATTCTTCAGGCAAACAGGACTTTCTTGTGCTTTTTCTGGTGGAACCCATGAGGGTCCCCTCTGAAATATTATGATATATCCAGGTCTATAGCTACTGAGATAGGGCATTTGTGGAAATTAGAATGCTGCTGTCAGTTTAATAACTGGGTCCCATAGATCTGGACACATAAGACCAGATCTGGCCTGCTTGCATTGGCTGCCTGTAAGTGTCTGGTCCCAGTTCAAGGTGCTGGTTTTAACCTATAAAACCCTGAACAGCTTAGGACCACAATACCTGTCAGAGCTTCTCTCCCAAGTGTGATCTACTTGGACACTACACTCAGCCTCTGGGACCTTCCTCCAAGTGCCAACTCCAAGGGAAGTTCAGAAGGTGGCAGCTAGGGGGAGGGCTTTCTTGGTGGTGGCTCCCCATCTCTGGAATAACTCCCCACTACAGCCTGCTTGGCGCTGAATCTGCCATCTTTTTGGCACCGGGTTAAGACAACCATCTTTTCTGAGGCTTTTAAGGACTTGGCTACCCAGGGGCTTGAAGGGGATCACCAGGTGTTGCAGAGTCTCTCTTGGTATTTTTGTTTGTTTTTATCTGTTTCTACCTGTTTTGATTTTTTTTTTACATTTTTATTGTATTTTTTTATCATTTGTTTTCATGGGTGGTGTAAACCATCCAAAGGGTTTTGGCTGTGGGACAGTATAGAAATGAAGACAATTAAAAAAGCTCTTTGTGCAAAGAGAAAGGAGTTCTTTGGCCCCCATAGTTGAGAGTTTGAGAGTATAAAGATTACGCTGTCCATAAAAACCTGTGCTTTTAATGCCTTTGATACATAAGCTTCTGGGAAAAGGGGATAGAGTAGCAACTTAGTATTTTCAGTGTTCTGCACCTATAAAAGCAGATGTTTGATCTATCTGGGTGATTTGTTTGGGGTGCTTGAAGTAAGAGATCCACTGGCCATCTTGGTGTAACAAAGTGCTATTGGGAAAGGTAATGCAATATTGAATCATCTGTTTAGATTTGTAAACCTGTCGACAGAGTTTAGACTTTGTGTTAATGTTATATATCAACCTGGTTCACACATCTGGATGAATGAACTATGACTCGGTGGGAAGTAGGGAGTCACATGATCACTTCCCTGAATTGTGATGGCTGAACCTGAAACTTTGGACTCTTGGAGGAGAGACTGCCCAGAACTGGAACCCATGCTTTAGAAAAAGAACCCAGTAGTCATGACATGCAAACTGGGCCATTGTACGATTTATGAAATGTGTTGTCATGATTTCTTAACATATTGTATAATAGGTTTTATACTGTTTCATGTCAAGTTCTCACGGCATGTATTTCCAATCCGTGCTGCTCTGTAGACTTGAAACATATGTCTTCGATGTTGGAAAAGACTCAGATTGGATTTGTAAGAAATTGACTTTAATGAGCAGCAACACCCGAAACAAGGCAGTAATCCTGCAGTTAAGTGTTTAGAATGTTCTATTTAGGAATGGAATTATAAAATCTGCCTTTAAAAACTTGAATTAATATGTCCTTTATAGATTAATGTAAATATTGGGCCAGTCTAGTGATCCAGTTCATGGAAGAGTAATGGAGAAAAAAGCTAACCTGCTGTAAGATTTGCACCTGGGGAGGAATAAAAATGACATTATGTGCTGTACAGCTGCTTTGCAAAACAAGACAGGCAAATCTGGAAAATGAATTTCCTGGCTTCATCCCATGCAAACTTTGATCTCTTCAAGTTGCAGCCTCTGTATTTTGAAATAAATTGTTTTAAGAAAAAGAAGGTTGAACAAAGAAGTAGGTAGAGTTAACTGTTAGCAGAATGATTCTTTCTTACATATTCTTGTAGTCTAGAATTCTGAGTCTTAAATCCTCCCCCTCACCAAATTTTGTTCTGTTAACTATCAAACACAAATTTTATTACCAGCATCAATATACAATCAGATTAATTTGATTTTTTGTGCTACATTTGGGAGACATGCCAGAGTTTTAATGTTTGGAAATAGATTGGGGAGGCAGGGAAGGAATCATAAAATCATGGATGATAGCAGATCAGACTTGGTGGGAGGGTAGGGAAAAGCCTAAATCTCATACGGAGAGACATAACTATAAAGATAACATATTGATCTTCCTTCCTTCCTTCCTTCCTTCCTTCCTTCCTTCCTTCCTTCCTTCCCCTTGTATTTGTTGCTTTTCACAGTGCCTGAAATAATTATTTGTAATGGAAGTTGCAAATAGTTTAATAGCAAAACCAAAACTTATTCTGTGTTTTTCACATTGTCTTTTCCCCTGCTCCTTCACTATGGCAGCTAAACCCAGAAGAGATTCATTACTTAGTTCAGATTCTACTGATGTTGCACCAAGCAGAAAGAGAAGACAACGGACACGAAAAGGTGCAAGAATAGAGCCCAAGGTGGCATTATATGAGACAGAACTTGCAACAAATGAAAAGTAAGAATTATTTAATATTTTTATCAATTCCCAAAGATAGCATATCTAGCATATTTAATGTATGCGTGAACTTAACAGTGTAAACTTATTCTTTCAAAGGAATGTCCTTTTGTTTTCAATAGAACAGTCTCTTCCTAGGTGCAAATGTTCATAAGGTTTGGAAACTTATGCTGAAATTTTAAATGCAGTTTCTAGGGACTAAGTCTCATAAATTTCAGTGAGCCTTGTTTAGGAATTTGCTATTAATTTCTCATTTTGCTTACTTTGTCTAGTTATAATGGCTTTATAAAAACTGCTTGTGTACAGAAGTGTGTTTTTCCCAAATAACAAAAACAAATCTTAGCTACCTGCAGTTAAACCATTTTGTCTCTTTTCCTTTTGCTGTTGTCATTGTGTCAGTTGTAACTAATGAATATTATCCTGCTTCCATTTATATACTCTTAGATCAGAAACAAAAGTGCATTTCTTAAAATGACAGGGTATTTTGTTTGGGACCATTCTAACAAATTTTACATCCATGGAAAATGAACTTACCAAAAATCAGTTTCCTTGAATAGTTTTGAGATGGTTTTCTATGCTTAAACTATTTGGGTGGAGAACTAAATGTTTAAAAGATTTATCACTATTACTTTTCTATGGATCTTTTTTCTCCTTGTAAGATTCAATCTGTGCAAAGTGTGGTTTCCAGAACAGAGTTTGTGATTTATCAGATCAGTGAGTAGCTTTATTTAGGCTGCAGCCAAATAATAGTGAGCTTCCCTTAGCACTTGTGCAACTGATTATACATTGGATGTAGCTGATGATTGTGAACTGTTGTAGGAGTTGGGCTGTTCCTCTAATAAAAGATTTATCAAATTCTGACCTAAAGGAAGAAGCCAGAATCCACGGCTAAAACACCAAGGCTAATGGACCCATGGATAAGCCAGTGCCAAAATCTGGGGGAAAGCTCAGTGAGCAAACTGATATGGAAGGTAGTAGATCTGAAATCATAAATCCAAGGATACAGTGGCAGGTTGAGAGGGTAGACCAACTAAAAAGTGTCAGAAGCTCCAAGTGATTGGAGTTTCTCTTTGAGGATGTGGTTTTCTCATTTCAGTTTTGAAGCGAACAGAGGTATGCAGTTTGGAATTAACTTTTTATCATTAAGCCACACTTGCTTAATGGCCCCTCGTCTAAACTGGCTTGTTCCTTGTGTTATTGCATTCTGCATTGCTCTTCTTTTGTTCTACAAAGACAGCCTAGCCTGTCAGCTTTAACATAAAGCCTTTTAGACAGAAAGCCTTTGTCCTGGTCTGTTCGGAAGGAGGGGGGAAAAACCTGCCAGGACAAATGTCTGCAGTGTTTTATTGATGCCAGTGTTTGTGTTACTGTTTGATGTGTTCCTTAGCTTTTGTACATTTTTATAGTTTCATTGTTGGTGGTGGTTTATGGCCAATACAAAGTACATGTAAGCTGACACTCTAACCCTAATTTTCCAAGAACAAAGTATGCCTTTTTCTTATGAGAGGATATACCTAAACCAAGTGTTGCTGTCAGAATAATATGGTACTTTCTTTCTAAAAGTGCTTTGACCAAATCAAGATTTAGGGTGCAATCCCATAATCCATCGTTGATGCATGTAAGCCTCTGCACTGCAGTGCCTTGCACCCTGATTTTTATCTGGATGGCTGGTTTTGGTCATCTACATAAAGCATCTGGGAGAGGGAGGGAAGGAGGCCAAGAACCAATAGGAATCAGGGGAAGACCTCGGTCCAGGCTCTTTCCCTTCTCTCCCCACAGCACATCACTTTTTCTCCCCGCTGAGGTGCCCCAGAGGAGACAGCTGGCATTGCCTCATCTTTCCACCCTGGCTGCAAGGGGATGGGGTGGGGACTCTGAATAGCCCTGTGACGCCCAGGCAATGTTCCGAGGCCGTAATGAATTGCTGCTGAGACTGTGCTGAATTGTAGTCTGCTGTTAATTTCCAGATCTTAAGTTCTGCTCTACTCTTGAAATAGCAAAATTGCGTTCCTCTCATTCTCTTGCATTAAAACATTGCTCACCATGTGGCCGATGTTCTGGTCACATCAACAGAAGACACATATGTGGCCTGCATAGCCCTGGTTTACCATTTTCGGAGGACAGAGAGGCAAAAAAACCCAAGAAACCATTTTTGTCATTCTGTCTACTTTGTTGTCAGGAGCTGTGTGGATTTGGACCAAGCCTCTGTGAGTAGGAGTGCTCCATCCTTAGGGCTACTTGCCCTGAGGCAAGGGATTGTACTGTAGGGATTACATTCTAAATAAGGCAAATACAAATAACTGTCAGCTGTTTTTAAGGATTCACTTTCCTTTATGGAGAGAAAAAAAACCCTTTTCATTTCCTTTCCCTACAAATGTACAGTTACTGAATGTTGTATTTGCAGTTCTCGTGTTATTTCCTTGCTTGCAGTTTCACCCTCCATCATGGCCCTAGTTCGTGAACTTTTTTTAATGAGACAAAAAAAGGGAATGCAGTGAGAAAATGTCCATGAGCCCTAAAATGATGATTATATGCTACCTCCACCATCAGAATATACTGTACAACATGCATATGTGCACCAGTGCTGTGGAATGTAGTCAGGAAGGAGATGTGATATTCATGCACACTTGTGGGATCCTGTGGGCAACTGATTGACATTGTCTGCACAGGATGTTAGACTAGAGTGACTGTTGGTCTGATCAAGTATGATAGTTCTTAAAGTAACAGGGAATATAAAATTTGTACCAGCATAGATCTGGTTCATAATTCATACTCACATAAAGTTCCGATAAAGTAGCACACAGCATGTAAGGAACAGATTCACCATATGTATAAAGTAGGCAGCCAAGTGAATTCTTAGGCTGTGTAGTTAGGCTACTTCGATCCCATTGAAATGCTGGAATTTAGGCAGGCGAATGGTGCAGAAGATTGTTGCCTTGGGGTTTCATCCTGGAAGACAGTCCTTTTCATACTCTAGCTGTCTTGTGAAAACATTTCCAAATGATCTCTAGTGCATAGCATCACAGAGTATGTTGGAGCTTTTAGAGAAAATGGGTAGCAACAGCAACAGATCTTCCAGGATATATGGCAAATTAATTCTGAATATTATGATCAAGCAGAATTTGTTGCATTTTACAAATAATAAACTGTGCATAAAGATACAGGAAGCAATATATTATACACAGAAATGCCTGAGATTTGATAAGACTTGCTACTGCAAATCAGATTAGAAGTGTCATCATTAATGAAGATCAACATAGATTGTTGAAGAAAGTCTTCTTTGAACAACCAGCTATCTTCTGTTGATAACATGAAATGTATTCATCATTTTCTCCAAACCCGATTACTGGTAGCTGCGACTTTCATGACAGAACCTATCATATTATGGCACTATAAACATGGCATTTTCTTGCATCATCATATTTGGCACAGACATGATTTTAACATAGCAATTGATATACAGTCCGAAAAGTATAAAGGGAAGGATGTGGTTCTAGAGACAGAAGTCCTGAAAATGGATTAAATGAGTCTTCAGGGAAACTCTTGGTGATGTAGGAGTGGCATGTACCTTTCTAAATAAAGTAGGCACCTTGGAATGGAACAGGATAGAACTTTGAATGCTGACTTAAAAAATCAACTTCTTTTTAGTGCTGGCAAAAAGCATGATAATTTTGTGCTAGATTTAGCAAAGAACCTTCATTCTGTTTGCAGGGTCATGACTCACACTGCACCTGGATCGGAAAGCCAGTGTGGTCCAGTGAATCATTTATTAGACTTGGACCTTGGAAATCTCGGTTCAGATCCCACTTCAGGCATGGACTCATTGGGTGGCCATGGGCAAGCTGTTCTCTGGATGAATTTCCCCAGCTGTAAAATTAAGAACATTAATTGCTGACATTGTTGTGTAGTTGTGAGGATAAATAAATTTACTGGAAAAGTCTTAGATGAACCCTTGTTAGAGTAGGATTTAAGATTTTAAAATAGGATATGCTGGGGAAGGATTAGATTTAATTCAAGCCTGACTATGCATTAATCTCATAACATGAAATATCCCAACTCTGTCTGCAGAGAATACTGAAGATTCCACTATCAATAGTTAGAGGAAGTAGAAGAGGATTAGTCAGCATTTGTTTTTTTCCCTAAATTTCTAGGGGCAGAAATGGCTTTACAGTTGGTATCAAGAACATTCTCCTTCTCTGCCACTCATCCTTAGAACTAGAATGAGGTACAAGGAAAGGCAGCTTCAGAAACACTCTGGAAATCAATGGAAACGGAAGGGAGAAAAATGAGGGCTCCTTCTCCTGGAAGATGTGACCTTGACCTTCTCTACTAAGAAGCTCTCATGAGAATTTTAAGTGCACTGCTTTGTGTGCTTCCTCCTTTCAGCGGTCTATATTATCTCCTTGGGAAATGGCTTGCTTAAGTTGACCAGGATTTTCTTCAAAATGTTGTGAGGGCATAAAGAGCCTTTCTTTTGATAACCCCCTGCCTCCTTAAAAGCATGGCAAGTCTGTGGTACATCCTGGATTCCCTTGGGATTATATCTCTTTTTGCCTAATTTATTGCCTGTGGCTCACATTTTTAAACACTGAATTCAACCTTTGTTTAAAATGTGGCTTGCTACCACCAATGATTCAAGTAGCAAAAGCTTTGGCTTATCTTGAATTTCAGCTTTCTCAGAGAGCAGTGCAGACGTTGGCATTACTGTCTCACATGAAGCCATATTTTATTGGAAAGGTTTAACTCTGTGAAATTAGATGCCACTTAAAAAGGCATCAACCTTTTTCATGGCCCAGTGAGAGTATGAAGTTTACACTACAGTCACCCTTTCAAAAAAAGCTATTATTTTCTTTCAAACTTGCCTGTTAGATGTCATTGCACTTTAAAAAAGATTTACTTATTGTAATTTAAAGGTCCTTTACAACATATATACTGTGCTTCTATAGCAATTTAACACAGGTAACCCCATCTCATGTTGGGGTGTGGGGGGAAACTGCATA